AATAAAACTAAAATAATTATTTTTTTATAATACTATAGTAAGAAAGAAAAAGTAGAAGAGAAATATAAGAACAGTAAAGACGGAAACCGATAGAAATTATACAACATGTGAAATGAACGCCAATAACACACAGGACACCACACCCGACATTTGACCATCACACACAATCAGGCACATACACATACAAACATTCACATACACACACACACATACATGCATACATACATATCTACATACAAATAATTCTTGTTATTTTTCAGTTTTTGTGAAGAGATTGTTTAGCAGCAGGAGGAGGAAGTTTCTTGTTGACACAGGTGATGAAATGACTAAACTCTCAACACTCTTCTTAATTTCACTTTGACCTAAATGTCACAATTAACTATATAGGATATTAGTTATATTACAATGTCATTAAAAAGCTGTGTTTTTTTCCCAAACTGCTTGGTAATTTAAATCATGGATCTGCCTTTATAAACTCAATATTCCAATTTATATAAAACCATAGCAGCCATGTTCGAGTCAAGTCTTCTTTGTTTTATGTTTACAGTTAGTTCTCATTTAACTCGTCTTATTTCATAGTAATGGAGGGAAAACACTGTTCTGTTGCTACGTTCTGGAGGATATGTGCAGGAATGATGATGGAAGAGAGGCAGAAAGGATGAGTCCACGTTTGAACTTTTCCTCGCTTTAATAAATATTGACTTTGTGGTAGTCTTTAGACTCGAGTGGATGTACTTTAACCCTTTATGGAGCAATGATTCTGCAGAGAAACCCCTTGGCTGTCAAGTTAACGAGAGAACAGTAGCAGACTGAAAAGTAAGCCTCAGACAAGCAKTTACTGTCTGAAAAGAAAGTCAGATCTTAAAACGTTTTGAACTGTAGGCGACAGAAGACTCTTGTTACACATGTGAAGTTTTAGGTTCCTACAGTTTTTTWATGTTGGAGATAAAAGTAAAAAAAATAAAAATAAAATCACGCTTCCAGTTGTGAGAATGTGTAATAATGTGGAAGTTTAGGCGTTGATCTGTGTACTCTGGAGGGATTTGAGAGAAAACCGTAAATTCTGTGGAAGTGGTTTCCACACTGGCTGTAAGAGGACAAAACTGCCTGTGATTTAAGGTTTTAATTTGAAAAATTATTTAAAAATGTTAAAGGAATAAGAAGAGTTTTTATTTATTTTTATTTTTATTTTTTTGCAAAAAGGCTTCAAAATTGAGTGACATCGTCAGTCAGTTAATATTTCATGGAAACTGCGATTGTGTAAAAATGTAAAACATTAAAAAATTGCCAGTTCAGACGTACAAAGTCCAACTTTCTGAGACCCATTTCAGCTTTAATAAATGTTTATACCGTGAAGTCTGCCCGAGCTACAGAGCTCTAAAGAGGGCACAGCACACGTTTTCAGATCAAACCACGTGTTCCGGTTTGATTTTAAAGCTCTGTGAGGAATTAGTAAAAATGTTGTTTTAATAGTTATGTATTGGGATTATTTTTCCCTCGTACAGGATGTGAAATTTAGTTTTTGTGTATTTAAATAACTGGAGCTGCAAAGCATGAAAATATAAACTCCGATTGAACGAACGCTGGCAGGTCGCCACAGTTGGCCAATTAGAGCAGAGGTGAAGCTCCGAAAACAGGTTCTGTTTATTTGTGTCACAACTTTTGTTGTCGGAGAACTTTGATCTGCGAGGTTAATGTGTGAACCGGGAGCCGGTCCGTCAGGATGTCCGGGACACGAGCGTCGACCCGACAACCGTAGACGGGAGGCGTGTCATTTTGCACGCCATCACAGAGCGTCTCGAGAACATCGGCGGTTCTCGGCGAGCTGRTAAATGTGACCTGTGTTAGCAAAATACAGTATAACACAAGGGATTTTTCATTATTTGCAAAATTTACATTTCGACATCTTCAAAATGATTTGTATTTCTCTATATTTTGGTGATTTATGAAGTTAGTTTTTATTTTTTATTTTTGATGAGTGTCTGTTTGAAAACTCTTATTGTTTTTATTTTATCGGTCTAGACTTGATATCAAGAATTCCTGCACTAAATTTCAAATCCCAAAGCTTCACAGTGACACCAAACATTGTATGAAGGGATTTCCCTGCAGAGAGTAGAATTTTAAAGAAATATTTTAAAAGACATACCTGTTAGTAAACTTTAATTTAAAGGTAGATTAGAAAGTTTTATTCTACTTACAAGAATCTTTAGATCAGGGGCGCCCAAACATTTTCCACAAAAGGACCAAAATGAGAATCTATCCAGGGCTGCGGGCCAAATGCAGTAATATAGTACATGAAATACAAATACTAATTTTAGTAAAGTCCTTTATTTTGTAACGATTAAGCTAGCAGCCAGTGTGGTGGCCTGCTTTAGTTTTAGTCTGGGCACTTGGAGAAAGTCTGCCATATGCTCAAGTAGCAAAGGCTCATGGGAAATTTTGTAAATTGATAAAATATTAGTTTTTCTGGCCTTATAAATTGTGCAAATCTACATGTGGGGTTAAATCTAATCTAAATATCACTTTTTACTTGTATTTCACATTTTATATTTAATCTTATTATATCAAAGATAAAGTCAGAATCATGAGTGAAAGCTATCTGTACTACAGCCCCTTTATATAGTCATTGGGCCAATGGATAAAATGACAAAGCGGAAACACATTTTCTACATAGGATGACAGGTTACAACTTAGTAACAATGTCAACTGTTGGTGGGCCAAATCAAATAGCTTGGCGGGCCAAATTTGGCCCACGGGCCCCACTTTGGGCTCCTCTGCTTTAGATGGAATCTTTAGACAAGGGGAGTCAAACCCATTTTCACTGATGACCACATGGTGGGCCTCAAAGAGACAGTTGTAATTAACTTCAATGTTTTGTGTTTAACTTCGACTAAACGTCATGTTCCACGTGTCGTTGCCACGGCCAAGCACTGCTAACAAAACTAACTGAGCTCTACCTGGTGTTTCCTGCATAGAAACAGTGCTTTAACATGTCCTCTTATAAACACTGAAAAGTACTACGTGTACGACTGACTAAAAATGTAATACAAATACAGAAATACTAATAAAAGTAAAATAGGAGATTTTACTCACTTGATTTGTGGTGAGTAGCTGCCATCTTGAATTCTGAACTCTCCCACTGTCCCACAGGGAATTCCCATTGGAGAGATGTTCCAGACGTAATTTGCGACTTGTAAGTGGGAAATTCCCACTTACCAGTA